GTTTGAGCAAAACTAAATTTGAGAAACTCAATTTTATTAAGGCCTAAATAAAAATTTCTGTATTTCAGGGAATTAAGCTCGTACCTTTATGGTGCTTGGCTTTGACACGAACACTGCACAAACAAGCAAGTATGCATGCATGTTTTTTTTTTGGTGTGGAATAATGCTAGACTGACAAAAAAAATAAACTAAATAATATGGCATTATCACAATGATGTTATTAATTGGACCCCATTTTTTGCATTTAAATTTAAAATTTTCTCATTTTGTAATACTATATTAGAGTTAATAATCGAGTCAAGCTATTCGGGCTTGATCGGTTCGGATTCAACTCGCATAGAATTTGACTCGAGGTCGGATTATTTGTTTTAAACGAATAGAACTTGAATAATTTTTTAGGCTCAGTCCGAGCTTGTAAAATTCAGTTCATTTATATATAAAATAGTCAAACTACTCGGGCTCGACTCATTTTTAAACGGGTCAAACTTGAACAATTTTTTAAATTTATTTAGAAAAAAAAAAAAGCTCGATAAGTTCAATTCGAACTCACAAAATTTCACTCGATTATCAGCTTTAAAATAAAATTGCTATTTGAAGCAATTGAGTTGAAATTCAACTTTAATTTGTTAAAATACAACACTAATTGAGTTATTCAAATTGGATCAATTTCAGACTAAATTTTTTTATTTATTTCTACCAGATTCAAATATGAATTGTTTGAAAATGATACTTATCGGACATTCTAATTGAATTTTTAAAACCCATTGAAAGTTAACCAAGAAAGATAGCCCGGTGGTAGGTTGTCATATGTAAGACTTAATGTACTACGGACAGAAAATAGATCAATGTTTTCAACAAACTTCATTAAACAACATAATTAAGTAATGAGCAATTAAGATTTAAATAGTTGTTGTACGAGGTACACAAGTTTCAACTTGCAACTAAATTTGAAAAATGTAACTCGTACGCAATCTTTATATCCCGATTTATTGGAACTCATTATCAGATTTGATTTTACGACTTATAATTTTCACGGACGAATATGTCATTGGTAAATGACACGATTAAAGCGATGACTTTTCTCGAAAAGAAGCCAGCCTTGTTGCATGCACGTGGCTTTTATCACCTGTCCTCCATTTTAACTTATCAAAATTAATGTCCACAGTCCCATTGCAAAGTTGGACTTCATTTCTCTAACACGGTTTCGTACATTCTTTTATTTCTATTTCATTCTTAATATCATTGTATGACTTTAGGGAAGCCGTCTTTATTTTTCTAGATGGAGAGAAAATTCAATGAAAGGGAATTCTCTCCCCATGTGCTATGATGAGTTCGAGTCTTGTCCTATGAATACAGTTTTCCACCTAAGTTTCCTCTCCTCCTTTTGATGTAACAGTTCTCCCAAGGGAGAGAAGAGGGTTGATGATTAAGAGAAACCACGACCAATGATGCATATTAGATGATTAAGAAAAGTCACAACTCGTATAAGTAGTTGAAGGACCAAAACGACATTTCATGCATACTTAAAAACTAAAAAACACCGACATAATTTTTTATTAACAAAGCAAATTGAAAATATCGAGAATAAAATGAGAAGAGATACATATGTTAAAAATAAAAATGTCTTTAGTCCATACATTTATCTCTATAAAAAAGATAAACTATTTATTGATTCGAAAACAAAAAATATGATATATACATATATATGTATTTGGGTGTGGGTGTGGGTGTATATATATATATGCACTTGAAATGGTTTGGGCAGTATGTACTTCAAATGTGAATGGTTGACACTGTACATCATGTAAACAATGGAAAGGTGGAAGCTTCTTTCTCCTATCCCAGCTAAAGTGTCAAGACCCAACTTGGGAGCGAGGGCGACATTCCTATTGGAGGCCTTTATCCTTTTGTTTTCATACTAGAGGCCTCTGCGTTTTGTGAGTTCAAAACCCCATAGAGGCAAGAACAGCCTTTGATACAGTGACCCCTCTTTATTATAACAAACATGGAACGCAACCTCATGATCAAAACCATTATATTGCAGATTCTTTGTCATAAAGGGGGTGTAAATTTTGACCCAATACAAATCCTTGGTTGTTGGAGTTGACTAGGAGTCGATGTCAAACTTGAAAATTACAAAATTAACTAACACGAATAATAAAATAGTTGAATCAATATCTAGTATGAATAATTCGATTTTAATTTGATAAACCCACTTGAAGGTAATTGGTTGGTTACAAAAGAGACTTTTACTTTATAAAATTTCTCTTAAAACCCGATCTATGAGAAGAAAATTTGTATTATTTTTCACTTTGTCAGTCAATATCTAATATGAATAAGTCAATTTTAATGTGATAAACACACTCGATGGTAATTGGTTGGTTACAAAAGAGACTTTTACTTTACAAGATGTCACTATGTTGATGGATTACTAGTTCGTTAAAGGATTGGTATGTCTAAAAAGAGAAAAGTCTAAATCTCAAGAATTCATGTGTGGTGTTTGAATTAAAAAAAAAGTTGTGTTACGTCTCAAACACGACACGATTAGTAACCAAATCCAGTTTGTTTTAACTTATTTGACACGGTTAATTAAGTCAGTCATATTATGATTAGATAATACTCGACACAAATTAGCATGATGCATTAACATGACTTAATTGTTTATGAACACGCATTTAAAACAAAAGACACCGTGAAAGTCACATTAACAGCAATCACAAATTTAAAAGAAAGGAAGATCAGATAATTAAATGAGGTTAGGTAAGAATGATAGAGCATAGTGGAGATAAAAATATTTACTTGACTACTAAATTTCTATTTAGAAAAAGATTATCCTGAACTTAAAGTGGTGACTTTAGGTGCAAATACAAGAAGGCAGGTATCAATGGTCTTGACTAAGTCCAGATTCCCCAGATGAGATACTACTACATGGGTAAGACTATGGCATTCACAAAAAAAATGTAAGTATCATACCGAAAAATGGATCCTAGCCGTAGATATTGCGTTGATTTATTTGTGACTATTTATCTTAAAAATAATAAAATACATAATACTATACATGTGTCATACTCTCATTAGTAGAAAATTGGAGGCACCCATGCTACGTAGTGCAACTCCACTTGCCCCCTCACTTCTCTTTTGTCCTTTCTCAAATATGACTCTTAAGTCAATTTTTTTTTTTTTTTGGTGAGCTTTACTTTTCAAGAGAAGAAAGTTAAAATTAGTGGAGTACTTTTGATTTTTATACAGAGGGCGAACTTTGACGCGTTATAAGGTTGATTTATTGAAATTGGGCATTACAAGTTAGAGTATACAGAAGTCCCTTTCCACAAAAGAAAAGATCGTGTATATTTGATCATTCTTTAAAATATCCACAAAAGAAAAGATTGTGTATATTTGACCATTCTTAAAAATATCTCAGAGGCGGAATCATTATTGATAATGCACAAATTAATTTGTACACCACATGTTAGATAAGCAGGAATAAATATAGTAATTAAGAGAGACACAAGCAATACAAGATTTATAGTAGTTCAGTCAACGTGACCTACGTCCATTTTGAATGGCTAGGGTGACCGAGTATTTTATTACTTCAAGTGAGTAGGGAGAACTGAGAGTTACAAGAAGGATAGGAGAGTTGTGCTCAGTTGAGTGTGAAACCCTCCGAGTGTTGGTGGTGTCGCCCTCCTATTAGATTTGGGCGAGATATTAGTAACTGAGTGCCTAGTTGTTGGGTTTGGCGACCTCTTCTCAACAGGCAAGGCGGTTACGGGGCTCCTCATGGGATTCAGTCAAAGGATGACGCGGGGTGTTGACCATATCCAAGACGGCGTGGATGAGCTCTTGGATGACCCTGCATGCTCCTCTGCTGATGTAGCTCCTAGAACCTGATGAGCTTGATCGGGTTGGACTGTTTTGGGTTGGAGTTTACTGGATCTCTTTAGAGTTGGGCTTGTAATTTAAGCTTGGCTTATATCTTGAGTTGGGCCCTTGGGCTTGGCCCATCATTTACCCTCTAATGCCTTGTGTCCAATAAAATTTGTAAAAGAAGACATTTGATTGAGTTTTAATTTTTGGTTGATCGGCACACAACTAGAAAAATTTTGGGAGATCAAATCATCTGCTTCTAAGCCCTTTTTGGACTTTTTACAATGTCTTTCGACGGTGACTTTTGTAGGGCTCATCGAGAACTTTGATTTCATACATAATAAGCTCTGTTTGGAGTTATAGATCAAAAGATACGGTCAAAATAGCGATCAGGCCTTTTTAAATCTAAATTTATTGAAAACTTCTTTCATTGGCGACCCCTTCCCTTCTAGTGGACTCCTTTTACTTGTGGGACGCCATTAGGTATATAAACTCCTTCCTTTACTTCCATTTTTGGATTCTTGAAGAGCCCTAGCTATAAATTAGGGTTTTTTACTTTTCCTTTCCTAAATAGGATTTAGAAAACCCTTGGTATAAATAGGGAACTTCTCTTTCTTTTTGCCCATTCCATACAATCTTGAGTGAGAATGAGAGGTCTTCTTGAAATCCTCCAAGGACAAAGGGGTGAGATTCTTGAGTTAAAATTCTTTGAACAATGTCAAATGGTGGAGAACATGTGCAAAGATCTGCAAATCTTGGTGAAAAGCTCAAAGGAATTGATGTTGCCATCAGAGAGGAGGAGTTGAATGGTGCCAGAGTAGAGGTGCTAGACACTGAAGTGGAGACACCCCAGGCGCCTGATGTTCGCGTGGGTGAGATAAAGGAAGAGGTCGGTGTTGGGCGCACAGCTAGGTTGAGCTCAATTAGGTGCGCGGCTGAGGCTCTGAGTGCCTATATGGGCGATGCAAAGGAGGAGGACCAGGTGGGAACCAAGGAGGCGATTCAGCTACTGGGCGTTCGCTCGAAAAGAGTGCTAGGTCTGCCCGCTGTGGGCACAGTGGAGGCATCAAGGTTAGACAAGCAGGAAGCAATCATGGTGAGTAGGGGACACATTAGTTGTGCGCAAAAACCAGCTGGGCGAGCCACTCAAGTTGGGCGAGCAAGTTGTCCAGGCTAGTAACGAGCGAGCAATCCATTTCGTAGGCGACCAGGCAATTCGGGATCATGACGGGCAAGCATCCCAGGTGGCATGGAAAAGAGATAGACGAGTAAATGAGAAGGGGTTGGGCGCCTTGGGCATGGGTGCTATTGGGCAGGCATCCCAAGCGCTGGGCGTCGAGGCCATGGAGATCCAGGCGCCTGGTACTAGGGTCGCGGTAACTCAGGCACTTGTCAAGGCAGGTGAGACGTGCAACTTTGGTAGTGACAATTCTAGCCATGTGGCAGAGGATCGGGTTCCTTCAGGTGCAACTTCTCAAAATCAGACCCCTCAGGGCCTCTCAGTAGTTGCTCAGGCAACTCTTCCCCCTTTCGCAAAAAAAAGCACTGAAGAAAGGTAGCCCATGATGATGATGGATCTAAAATGAGTATTATTTCTAGCACTTTAAATACAGACCCTGATATTGTGGATTGTCTCTGCCTACCACATTCCTCCAACTGTGTTGTGTCGTTGAGCTGAGATGGGTGAGCCTGCTTGCGACAACTCCTTTGGTGACCTTGCCATCTATGAGGAAATGTTTGAGACTGGGCTCAGGTTTCCCATTTCTTCTTCTATCTGTCATGTTTTGCATTACTTCTCACTCACACCAGGGCAGTTGTCGCCCAATGGTTGGAGGATTTTACTGTCTTTTTTGGTATTGTGGAGGAAGGTGCATCATGAGGATGCCTCTCCTGTCGAGTTTCATGCAGCTTATACTTTGAGCAAGACTCCTGCTCCTAATTGGGGCTGGTACTACTTTACTACGACAGACAAGTTGATTACCAGATTAAGCTCCAACTGTCATAGTTGAAAGTCTCACTTTATATTTGTCGACAGAGAGTGGGTTGTCAAGGCCGATAGGACTTTGGTACCAACAGGATGGGGTACTCCTAAGAAACTTGGTACGCCCTATACTTACTTTCTCTCCTTTACCTTTTTTTTTTTAAATTCAACATGCCTCTTGCAAATTCTCCTGTGCTCTCCAGGGACCAAGAATGGAATTTGCAGGTTGTGAGGGCTCATCTTGAAAAAGATGTTGAAGTTCTTATGTCCGAAGACAGTGGTGGGGCTAGTGGACCTTCTCCGGGATCCTCTTTGAAAAGAAAGATTATGTTGATTCTCTTGTACATTTTCCCCTTACTTGGTGTTTTTCATCTAGATAGCCTTTTATTTCCTTTGCAGTAGTAGATAGAAAGTTGATTGGGTCCCGCCTTTCTAGTAAAAGCCCTTCTCCTCCTAAGGTGGCAAGGACGGGCGATGCCCCCCAGGTGACCTCTCCAATGGTGCCACCCGAGGTGTGCTCTCCTCAAGCAACCCCTTAAGTGGTGCTCCGGGCATGTTCCCATCAAGTGACCCCCTCCAGTGATGCCTCCTCAGTTGGAGACTCCTTCAATTTTATCTCTTACTCTAATTCCCCCTTGTTGGTCACACCTTTTGCCCACTGTTCATCCACTCCTCTTGTGGGAACTTCTAGAAGGGCACCGATTCAAATCAGCTTTATGTTGGGCAACACGTCAGTCATAAAGGATCGACTTGGGAGGTTTGTGTTTCCTAACGATATTAGCGAGATTAGTGCTCTGGTCACCGAAGGAATCATCAGCTTTTTTCTGGAAGGTCTGACTTAGGTAAGGGTTTGTCGTCTACCTTTCTTTATTCCTTTCTTAAGCTTCTGACATTCTTTTGACTTTTATCCTCCTTCAGGTTTCTACTGCATCTATGCGTTTACTTTCAAGGGCCTATTGTCACGGCCAGCTGAATCAGAATCATGATGTTATGCAAAAAGAGCTCCTTGCTGCTCAGGGGAGAATTGCTAAGCTTGAAGCTGCTGGCAAAGCTTCTAAGACTAATCTTGTGGAGACCCGTGAGAGGGCGACTAGGCTTAAAACTAAGCTTACGGCGACCCATGAGAGAGCAGTCAAGCTCGAGGCTGAGCTTGTAGCGACCCGTGAGAGGGACATGTTCAGAAAGGTTGAGCTTGTGAAGGCCTGTGAGAGGGTTGTGCTCAGAGAGGCTGCCGCAGAGGCAAAGGTGAAGGCAGCTCATGAGAGAGCTTTTCAGGCTGAGGAAAGGGCTGTCATGGCTAAGAGTGACTTGGAGAATGGCCTTGCAGACGCCTTTATTGATGATTATGAGGAGCTCTAAGGAAAAATTTCTGCTACTTTTCCTGATATTGATGTTTCAGTTTTCTTGCCAAATGAGGCGCCTGATGATAGTGATGGAAGCTCTGATGACACCGAGGATGATGAGGAAGATGAGGAGGAGGATGACCCTGAAAGTAGTTAGAGTGCTAAGGACTTTTGATTTTATTTTTTTTAGAAAGACAGTTTCTAGCTTTACTTTTATAAAAGTGGTTTTTCGTCACTGATGCTCCTTTGAAATTGAATATAAAGATGCAAAAATCTTTTTTGGAGTAAAATGTAAAAAATTTTATTCATTCCTTGTTTATGTGAAGCAATATTGGGTAATAACCCCAAAAAAAGTAAAAAACATAAAATCAAGTTCCCAAATTTTACAACTTTGACTCTTTCAAGGTGTCATTGGTAGTACCTTTTCAAGTGCTCAGCGTTCTATAGATAGGGTAAGACATTTCCTTTGGAATTCTAGATCTTGTAGGTGTCTGGTCTCACCACCTCTATTATGACATAGGGTCCTTCCCAATTTGGTCCCAACTTTCCTTCGTTTGAATCCTTTGTAGCAAGGATCACTTTCTTAAGCACCAAGTCTCCTGGTTGGAAGGAACGAGGCTTCACCCTCAAGTTGTAGTATTTTGTCATGCGATGCTTGTACTCTGCATTGCGGACCATACCCATCTCCCTTGCCTGCTCTACCAAGTCAAGGTTGATACGGAGTCCTTCTTCATTAGTAATGGGGTCGTGGTGTTGGACCCTTAAAGAATGCACCCCGATCTCCATAGGAATGACTGCCTCAATTCCAAAGACGAGGGAGAAGGGGTTTCCTAGTTGGAGTTCTCGGCATGGTTCAGTAGGCCCATAATACGCTTGGGAGTTTGTCAACCCAAAGATCCTTTGATCTTTCGAGCCTCGTCTTTAGGTTGCATAACACGGTTCTCACCATGACTTCTGCTTGTCCATTTGCCTACGGGTGCGTTGAGCTGGAATGAGGCTACTTTATCTGAAGGTCAGAGTAGAAGGAGTTCAGGAGCTTGTTGTTGAACTGTTTGGCGTTGTCGCTAACAATGGCGTGGGGTATCCCGAAGCAGCGAACCAGATTTTTTCAGATAAAATCTTTCACCTTGCGTCTGTTATCTTTGCTAAGGGTTTGACCTCCGCCCATTTGGTGAAGTAGTCGACCGCTACTACCACGAACTTACACTGTCCTCTACTGAGAAGTAGGGGACCTAGGATGTCGATGCCCCATTTGGAGAAAAGCCACAAACTTGTGATGACCGTGAGTTCCTCCGACGGCTGCCTAGGTACAGTGGCGAAACGTTGACACTTGTCACATTTCCTAGCGAACTCCTGAGCGTCCCTCACCATGTTAGGTCAGAAGCAGCCCTGTTGGAGCATCTTGTGGTCAAAGGAGTGTCCTCTAGAGTGATTTCCACAAACCCCTTCATGGATCTCCCATAGGGCATAGTTTGTTTTTTTCGGGCGAAAGACACCACATTAATGGCAAGGAATAGCCTTTTCTTGTACGAGGTATCTTGTAAGATAGTAAACTTGGAGGATCTCATCCTAAACTTCTTGGCCTCGAGGGGGTCATCTGACAATGCACCTTCTTGGAGGTATGCCCTTATCGGGGTCATCTAGTTTGATTTGGTGGACACACAGTTGACGTTTGTGGCTTCAACGTGTAACTTGCTTGGTTCGAACTGATAACTAAAGAATACTGGCCCTAGTGAGACTTCTGAGGATGAGGCGAGCCTTGCTAGTGCATCAGAAGACATGTTGTACTCCCTCGGGATGTGGCAGATTTAGAAGCATTAGAACTTGGCGATCAAAGCTTTCACCATGGCAAGGTACTCCTATATTCTGGTTCCTTTCGCCTCAAAATCACCCTTCACTTGGTTGACTATCAGCTGGGAATCACTATGAGTGATGAGATGTTGGGCTTCCATCTTAGTTGCCAATCTTAAGCTAGAGATGAGTGCTTTGTATTTTGTCTCATTGTTGGAGGCTGTAAAGTGAAGCTTTACAGCATACTTGATAAGGGTGTCATCGGGGCTGATCAAGATTAGGCCTGCACTTTCTTCACTAGTCGAGGAACCATCCACATAGAGCTTCCAAAATGGTAAAGAAGAGGGCTCGAAGATCAATGTGGGAGCCTGGGCGCCTGAGGTGGAGGTCTGGGTGCCAGGTTGGGCCTGGGCGCCTGGTCTGGGTGCCTGGTCTGAGTGTCATGGTGTCTAGACTTGGGTCTAGGTGTCCTCGTCGAGTATCACATTGCTTTGTGTGTCCGAGCTTGATGTCTGAAGTGTGGAAGGCTCATTGCTATCCTCCTCTACTGGTGTGAATTCGACAATAAAATCTGTCAAGACTTGTGCTTTGATAGCCGTCCTTAGTTGGTACTGGACATCAAACTCGTCCAGCTCTACTGCCCACTTAAGGAATTTTTCAAATACGCCAATTTTTCCAGAACTCTCTTTAGAGCCTGGTTCGTGACAACAACAATGGTGTGACTCTGGAAATAATGTCGTAGTCTCATAGACATCTTGTTGTTGAGATCAGGGCGAGTGCTAACTTTTCTAGCCCTGAATATCTTATTTCTGTTTTCAAGTATGCTTTGCTCACATAGTAGATAGGTTTTTGCCCTCCTTCATCGTTTCTGATGAGGGCATAGCTTACTGCCGATGGGAAAGCAGAAAGGTACAGATATAAGGTTTCTCCTAGAGCAATGTGTGAGAAGAGGAGAGGCGCAACCAAGTAGGCTTTGAGCCTTTGAAAGACTTCTTCTGCCTCAGGTTCTTATTCGAAGGCTTTCCAAAAAATCTTGAAAAAAGGCAAGAATTTGTCTGCAAACTTCGAAACAAACTTGTTGAGTGTTGCAATTCTCCCATTGAGGCGCTAAAGCTCTTTGGTAAAAGAAGGTTGGATGGCTTTGATCTTGTCGGGGTTAGTCTCAATTCCCCTCTGGTTGACCATAAAGCCTAAGAACTTCCCTAACCCTACTGCGCATTTTTTAGGATGCAACTTCATGCAGTATGACCTGAGGACGTTGAAAGTTTCTTAGAGGTGGTCGATGT